CCTCATTTAATTAGTTCAGCTTTTCATTTCAAGAAATAAACAAATACTGTAGACCGGAAGTTGTAAAGACAGTGGCCTAGGGCCTAACAGCAACATTGTTAATTTTGCATGTGCGGTGTTAAAAATAAACAACTTGCAGGAAAATCCAGATTTCTGACTTCTTTTGGAAGAACACTGACATGGTAAATCTGGTCCTGGTTCTGCCAGGCCACATGTGGCTGAGGTCAGTGGTGGTGGTCAGGCAAGCCGGCCCCTGGGCCACACGCCCTGTTTGCAGTTGCCCACCGCCCTTCCCCTGACCTTCCTGCCTAGTCTCTGCGATGTTTAGTAACTTTGTTCATCAAAAAGAAATGCTCTGTAACCAATAACTCAATAAAAATCAAAGAAAAAAATTAAAAGGTACCATGGGGTTCCAGGAAAATGAAACCACCAGCCTGGAGCAAGACCCAAGTGAGCCACAGCACACCTGCCCCATGGTGGGAATCGGAAGGCAGCGCCCTCTGCTGGAAAGTGCGCTCTGGTCTCCAGGGTCTGCCGGGCAGCACTGCTCCTACCTGGCAAGCATCCCCACGTGCCAGCTGCCTGCTGGTCCCAGCAAAGCCGCCCAGCGGGGGTTCAGCCCTAGGTTGCTTCTAAAGCTGAACCAAAATACTGCCCATCACTTATGGCTCACACGTGAGATTGTGTGTTTCCATCTTTGTGGATTATCAAAGGTACTCAAGTCAGCCACCCAGAGCCAGGGGCTTTCCTGCTCTCGGCCACAGAGCTGCTGCAAGGGGGCAGGGAGAGTGACCCCAGGGGAGCTAAGAGCTCACTGCAGCACCCTGGGACCTCTGCAGGGGCACGCTCAGGCTGCACCATAGGGCAACTCAAGGGGGCATGCACATGGAGCATCCTGAGGGAGGTGAGGGGCTCTGTCCTGCGCTGGCCGGCCCTTCCTCAGAGCTGCTCTGGAGCCACCGCCCTCCAGCCTCCTCCACCACCGCTCCTGCCCCTCCCTCCAGCCTCCGGAGCTACCTCAGCAAACCTCTCTCGCAGGCTGAGCTTCACCCCGGCACCTGCTCCCCACACAACCTAACTGAGTGGTCTTCCCCTCACAATCTGATTTCTGTCTCCTCTGGCACAAATCACCACTACCAGACCAAACCCAAAGGTACCCCCACTGCAAACTTCTCTGCAAGAACAGCGTCTGTGCACCTCCCTAGGAAGAGGGACGAACACTCTTTCACTCAGCGACTCCAGCCACACCAGGACAGCAGCTGAAATCAGAAATCAATCCTTGGGAAGCCCGCCCTGAGCATCAGCTCATGGCCCAGCACCATGGGGCAGGCCTGTCGTCCCCACCACGCTGCACACCGAGACAGGAGGCCTGGCACTCAGGACAACCTGGCAACTTAGCAAGACCCTGTCTCAGAATTCAAAAGGCTGGGGTGAAGCGCAGTGGTAGTGAACTTGCCCAGCAAGGGTGGGGCCCGGGGTTCCGTCCCCAGCCACCCCCTTGCCAAAAAAGTCACCAGCAGCTCTTCAGCCCCTGCGTTCCGTGTTCAGCGTGCCCCGAGTTGTGCACACCGACTGGGGCTCCCGGCCCCCATCCAGCATCACACTCAGCACATGGCCGTTCTCTTGTTTTGGATGGAATTTCTGAGCCGCTGTCTGGCAAGCACAGCCTCCTACAAGTGAAAAATCTTAAGAGCGATATAGGTATCGAGCCAATCACTTAGTTCCTTGGTTTAGAAAAGTGGGTTTTCATATATTGAGTTTTCGGAGCATCAAGGCGGGTGGGTAGAAAAATAACCTCTGAAGTCCAGTTCCATCAAACTGGGCAATGCTGCCCAGGCCTCCCCACCTCAGTCTCTTCATCAGACACGGGGCAGCACCACTCTCCTTGTGGGCTTGAGACTTAAAACAACAGGCACGTAAAGCAGCTCGCAGCGGTGCGACCCTGGCGCCCCCCAGAACAATAAACAGAGCAAGCTATCAAGCAGGGGCAGATTTAATATCAGCAAACACTTACAAAATGTTGCAAGGAAGAGCCCAAGAACCGTCCTGCCTGGAGCTGTGGCTGGACGTGGCAGGGACAGCAGCAGCACGTGAGCAGCAGGGTGGGCACAGCGTGGCCTTGCAACAGCTTCCAAGTGCTGTGCACTTGAATCCGTTTATCATGGATTTCGCTCCCCACCCACTTTTAAAGCAACAGGKACAGTCTCCATCACTGATGCACGCATGCTGGCACAGGGGCACTGGCTCCAGCTCCTGGCCCCAGGTGACACAAGTTCTCCAGCAGAAGCCTGCCACAGCATCCCCGTGGCCCTCGAGCTGCGCCTGCTTGCCACTGCACGTGCCCTTTCTGCAGCCCTTCCACACAACACGGGCAGTGTGGCGATGGGGCACAGTGCCCACTGCCCTCTCATCACCATCAACCTGATTCTCTGTCCCCACAACTCAGCCAGACCCAACCTGTGTCATCAGTGTGAACTCCATACCTTGTTTTGCAAAGATAATCAAAACATGGCAGATTCTTCTAAATCACCAGGGGAGACTATCTGGAGGTGACCCATGAGAACGGTGACTAAGTGCAGCATTTTGAAATTAATAGTTCAGAATAATCCTCAACACCATGAAGTGGCTTTAGGAATAACAGACTGTCACGGTCGCTTTGCTTTATGACCTAGAACATAGAACAGCTCATGTAAACCCCCAAACTCTGGTTAACTAAAGCAAACCCCACAAAATTTCTGAGCAATTGTTTTGTTTCATAAAATTCAGTCCAACCGAACAGCCACGCAGACGATGGGAAGACTAAGGTGTGGGGATCCCACATCACACAAGTCAGCACAGAGGAAACAGATGTGGCCAGCGCTTGGCTCTTTAAATACCAGCCTGCCCAACTTGTGACAGGAAAATCAAGACAGAGATTCTGACAGGCCAAGGGAGGAAGAGGAGTGTGGGGAGGGGAGGCTGAGCCTTGGCCAGAGGTGGATTTGATGGTGACTAGGGTGGACATGTGGCCCCAAGGGCTGCACCCCTGGGCAGTACAGTGGGAGCTGAGCAAGGCCGGGAGCCTAGGAAAGGACCACATGGGACTGGGCCAGTGACTGTCCTTCTCTCTGCTCCAAAAAGCCAGTGACTTTGGCTCTTCTCCAACACCTCGTTTCCCCTGTTTACAAACAGACCTCCATATCTCCTCCACCTCCAATTCCATCAGAGATGAAGCTTGGTGGGTCTGAGGACTGGGCGTCCCCAGGATCTTCAAATTCTGGCTGTGCCCATCTATGACATGATGGTGGGCAAGTAACTGACCCTCTCTTTCTTCAGACCACTGTCTGGCACCCCCCAGTGCCAGCCACAGCACACGTGGAGGGCAGGCACCTGCGTGTCAGCATGTGCGGTGACAGCGCGGGAAGCAGACACGACCGCGACTGAACAGGTCACTTATCAAAAACAAAACTGTCATCTCCCACTGGCCGCCCCAGCCCTGGCACATAGACCTGTCAGCACAGGCTACATCCTGGCCAGGGGGGGGCCTCGGGTAGGGGCCAGTCTGGGGCCAGGCGGCACTGCCACAGTCCCCACATCATGTCGGCCTTTGTCACCTGGCTGTCTTCAACCAGATCTGACACACTTCTCAGGTCCTGCCAAGATGGAGACCTCCGGCGCTGGACAGGCTGCAGATGAGCCCAGGTGGCCCACAGTCAGCGGGACAGCGGGCCGCAGGGGGAATCACTCCTTGAAGCCTCTCCCAAGGCCAGAAGAGGCTCTGTTCCCATCAGGCCAAGTAGCAGTGGTCAGAAACAATGTAACCAAGGCGCTTCCTGAGAGCGCAGGGAAAGTGGATACAGGGTGAGCGCAGGACTGACTCCTAAACTGGGGTGGGTGGCCATAAGGAAAGGATCAAAGCCGTCCTCAGACCCCACCGAGGCCCCTCCAAGGCTTGCCAACTGGGGAAACATGGATCAGCAATCCCTAAATGAGCCGCAGTGTAAACAGGAGACTCCCTTTTAGTTTCAACAGCATGGGTCCCATAGCCTTCCCCGCCAGCACCTGGCCAGCCAGAGGGACCCTGTATCCTGGCTCTCTGGGACGGTTTTGTTTTTTAACATGGTGGCCCTTATCCCATTCTGCCTGGGACAGCCCTGCACACGGTTCTCTCTCATAAGACCTTAACATTTCCCAGGAAAATAACCCAATTGCTGCATTATTCTCTTAGACAAGACTTTAAATACTGGATTTAATTTTTTTTTTTTCAGAGAGGCCACTGGTAAGAATCATTTTCTCTATTTCACTAAACTTCTCTCAAAGTTAAAAAAAAAAAAAAAAAACCTGCATTTTCTCAGTGCAGCCTAGCTGCTAGTGATTCTCCTTTCCTAAGTACCTGGGTCCACTGCTCCAAGGGTCTTTCGGGTGGCCCTGGGATGGAGGTATTTTCCTCCCAAAAGGCTCTCTGGCTATCGACTGACCCCATCACCTGACTGGACCGGCGGAGGCTCACAGCCAGCCTGAGGTCTCCACGCCAAAGTCACATCGGAACCCTGGGCACGCGTCATCGGCCTGGCGGTCCCACCTGCAGCCCTCCTCTCGGCCTGAGCCAGCAAAAAGTGAAACTAGCCCACAGCCGGCGGCTGGGCCCGGGCGCTCAGCGGGGTCCCGGATCCCGCGCCCCGAAATCAGGCAGGGGGCGCGCGCGTCGCGTCCCCCTTGGAGCCCCGAGGGTCCCGAGCGCGGTCCCGCGGGAGAGGGGGCCCGGGCCCCGCCGGAGCTCGTGTCGCCCCCCCACGGCCGCCGGCCCCTCTGGGGGCGCCCCTTCCCGGGCCGAGGCCCCTGGGCCCGAGGCGGGCGGCCGGGAGGAGGCCGGGCCTCGAGMGGGACCGGCTGCCCGGGAGGCCCGGAGGCCCGGGACCGCGGGGACCCGCCGCCCCGTTCTCTCGGGCCCGCAGCGGCGCAGGCCCGGGACGCCCGACCTCGGGCGGCGGGGGCGACCCCGGGCGGGGATCGCCGCTCACCTGCAGCCGCCGCCTGCTCGTCGCGGTCCGGGTCGCTCGCGGCCGCGCTGGCCGCTGCGCTCTCGGCCTGGGCCCGGCCGGCCCTGCGTCGGGCCTCAGCGAGTGCGGCGCCCGCCGCCCCCGGCCCCCATCGCGGCCCCGCCCGCCGCCCTCCGCCCTCGCCGCGCCGCCACTTCCTGTGCGCGACCAGCCACAGTTCCGCCGGCGCGCGGCGGGCGGGGGACAGGGGGACGCGGGCGGCTCGGCGCGACCCGGCCGCCGCGGGGCCAACGGGCGGGCGGCGCGAGGCGGCGGGCGAGGCCGCGCAGACCCCGGCCTCCGGCCTCCTGGCCTCCCCGCCGCCGGAGCCTGGGGGCGTGGGCCGCGCCCCGCCCGCTCGGGGTCGCCTCCAGGAGCGGCGGGGACTGTCCTGCGAGCGCGGCTCTGGCTGGGATCGCCTTCCAGACCCACGTGCGGCTCTCTGACTTATTTATTGTGGCCCGGGCTGGCGACAGGGTATCSATACCTGACTCCCAGGGCCGGCGCCCCAGAGCTGGCCTCCGGAACAGCACCCCCTCCCCAAGCCCGCAGTCACTGACCACTGTCCCCTCCTGGCCCAAGACTGCGCCCAGGGAGCCGCCACCTGCCTTCTCTGATACCTGGCCGGCAGGACGATCCTACCAGCAGGCCCGGGAGTCCTTCAGGCCCGTGGGGACACAGGGCCCAGGACAGGACCTGCCTGCAGGGCTCATCCCGGGAGCAGGGCCATCTGCCCTCCCCTGGCTCCGCTTCATACCGAGTGGACCGGGCCCTGCTTCAGTGCCCAGGTCCTCACTGGATTTTCTGAGCTTGGACCGGCTTCAAACTGATTGAAGACACCTAGAGCTTGTACTGTTCGGCTGAGCCTCACCAAATTTTTTCAGAAAATACCTGAGTAGAAAAAAAGTGAGTCACCTGTCCTACTCAAAATTCCCCTCCTCCTGGAAAAGCAGCTGTGGTTTGCATGGTTCATGGAAATTCAATATTTCAAAACCCTGATCCCTGCCTTCCATTGTAAGTAATCCAGCCCTCGGATAAATTCCCACAGGCACCTGCAGGCTGATTAGGAGGATGTGCTGACTTGGGAGTGTTACCTGTAATTACAAAACACYTGGAAATAACCAAGGGCACCTGGTTAAATAACCCCAGAATGTTCACTTCATACTTTAACTTAAAACATTTTAATGTCATGCTGTGTACACTGATACAACATAATCTCCAAAGTTTGCTGAATTAAAAATAAAAAGAGCAACAGATACACAATGATCCACTATATTAAAAAACAGTCTATGCCGCTGTCCAGGAAGCTACTGAAAGAATGAACATGAGGAAAATTGATGGGCAGGTGTAAACTTCTTATTATATGCCAGAGAGTGATGTTAGACTTATTAAGTAAACATTTTACAGTCACTTTTTCAGACTAGTTAAAATGCATCTCATTTCTTTGACATTTGATGCCCCTTCACTTTGCGTGGCCATAATGCCTCCTGGATGTAATCTGATCTCTGCTCGGTTAGGAGGTGTGGTCCTTCAGACATGCGCAGACTTTCCCCCTGGGAAGCTGCAGTGGGACACATACACATTGGAAGGGGGCTTGGAGGACATCTCCCTGGGCTCTACCAGGTGCCTGTGCTTTGGCTCATGACTTCGGCTCAGTCATGCACCCGCCCACGGAGTGTGCATGTGTCTGCATGGGGCATTCCACTTGGCACAGCAAGGACGCAAGGTGGAGGCTTCTGAAATCCTGCTGTGCATGTAAGGAAATGCCCGCTGCTCCTTGGTGTCCCCCAGCGCCCAGCAGCAGGGCCCACCGCCCTGGCCCAGCCTAGCTGTCCACAGTGCACCCACTGCTCATGGACACTGATGCTGCTGCCTTCCTGTTAGGGGAGAAACTCGGGTTCTACACAGAGCAGGCCCATGAGCCAACGGGGCACAGCAGACACCAAATGATGGGTCACTCGAGACCCCTAAGACTGGACATGGTGTCACCCTGACCCCTTCACCTGGTCCCTACCATGAGCCTTGCCCAGGAAAACCACCACTGTGATGACCTTCCAAAAGTCTRTCCTCAGGCTTTAGCAGAGTGCCATTTCTCCTGCCCGTAAGTCCCACTCCAAGCTGACACTGTGAAACTGCCGTCTGACAGGACCTTGGTCTAGAATAAGTTCTATGCTTGCCCAGCTCTGCCCCTGAACTGTTCTGGGCTGGTCAGTAACCTGGGCTCTCAGGGCAGCCATCTGACCCCTGAGGCTGCCATAACCCTGTCCTAGCCTTTCTGAAACCTCTATCTGTAACTGTATGAAATGTCGGGTGTGACTGCAGCGTGACAGATATTAGAGAGCACCTGTGATTGCCTGTCCCACAGGTGACCCGCAGGGAAGGTGGTGACCCTGGAAGTCCATTGTTATTCTGTAAGTTCTGACAAATGTGTTTCATCTCTGTTAATGACAGAGCAGGCTGGTGACAGGTCCCCAGATTCTCATGTTTAAAATGGGGGTGGGGGCAGGAGGTGAGCTAGGGAATTTCTCAAGGTGCGAGAAGGAGGACAGCACCTGAGTCCCCCGTTCAGTTTGGCTCTAGTTCTCAGAAGGTGATTTTCTGGCGTTTCATTTCATGGACAAGTAAACCGAGTCTTCGAGGAACCCCACACCCACACCCCAAGGCCAAATTGGGGTGGTCTCCCAGTTCTAAGGTGGCCTCTCTGGAGAGGTTTCCCATCAAGCCCTGTCCAAGGGCTTGTGCCACGGTCTGGCTCCTGGAGAGTCCATGGGGAGGACAGGCCATGGCCAGTCGCAGTAAGGACCCCCAGGAGCTGCTGCCGCTGGGGAACTGAGCACCAAGGCTCAGTGCTGGCCTGTGACCTCACACAAGGGAGTGACCCACAAGGGTCGAGTCTCCTTTCTGTAAAACGAGGAGGCTCCCAGCTCAGAAGGGCCCTAGACCGTCCGGTAAGTCCAGGGTTGAGAAAGCCTCAGGTCAATGGCCCCAGGGCAACCCCAGCATGGGGACCCCTCACAAGTGGAGAGACATGGGTTCTCCAACTAATTCGGGTCGGGAAAGCGACCACATGGGTCCTTGAGGAGACAGACTGCACAGAGACCTGCACAGAGGCAAAGGCTGTAGGTGGGAGCTTTTTTTGCAGCAAAGAGTTTGGAGACCCCGAGCTAAGCCCTCGCCCACGGAGTGATTCTGAGAAGTGTGGACCCCCCAGCGGGACAAGATGGCCTTGGCCAGCACACACCCAGCGGCCAGTTGAGAACACAGGAGTGACCCACGTGGGCCGAGGCCAGGGCCACTGTCTTGTGCACGAAGCCAGAATCCGACCCAGAGCAGACCCAGACAAACAGAAAGGCCCCAGGTTCGAGTCCAGGCTCCACCTCCCAGGGTGAAGCGGGGAGAACAGAAGAGCACCGCGGTGCTGCCAGGCTGTGGGCCTCGGCCTCCACGGGCACAGGCCGGGGCAGGTGAGCGCTGAAGCTCCCGCCAGCAGGGCCCAGTGTGACTGGAGAGAGGGGCCAGTGGGCAGAGGCCAGGCCCAGGGGCAGGGCCCAGAAGCCAGGATGACGCTGCAGGCTCACAGCACTGCCCCGGCCCGTCAGGGACAGGTGAGCTTCCTTGGCAGGACCCCGGAGGTCTTCCCCAGGACCGTGGGTCTGAGGTGCCACCTGCCTGACCAACCCTCCTCCCCTCCTTGTCTCTCGCAGGCCTCGCCAGACCCCAGGCCCTGTGCCCCCGAGCCCCCCCCCCTGCCGCAGCACCCCTAGCCTTCTCCCTGGGAAGGCTGCTCTGGCAGGGCACGCGGAGGGGCGCTTCCCTGTGCTGCATCCTTCTGGACCCAAGACCCACAACCACCCCTGAGAGGCAGCCAGGGAGTCCCAGCTCCCCAGGACGCAGGAGCCCCCTGGGCAGCCTCCGCCCCAGCTACCYTCCCCTCTTCCCTCCCGCCCCCACCCCACCTGGACGTGGTGAGCAAGCACAACTGTAGCCAGGTGTGGCGGCACTCACCTGTGATCCCTGATACGCAGGAGGCAGGAGGCTGAGGGAGGAGGGTCGCAAGTTCAAGGCCAGCCTGGGCAACGTGGCGAGACCAGGGATGTAGCTCAGTGAGAGTGTGCCCCTAGATCCAATCCCCAGTACCAAAAATAAAGTAAAAGTTTAAAAAGAAAAACTTTATTACTATTTTTGGCACAAATATTCTCCGAGGTATTCTCTGGGGGTTAAAAATATAGACAAGCTGTTTCTAAAAATTCACTGCTCAGACTGATGTTTTTGATGCATGCAGGAGAAGCCTAACCCATTCACAGACCCTGCGCCATCCAACTCCCAGGAAATGGGAGACAGAGGCACTCTGCACCTTTGGGATAGAAGCAAGCTCCCGGGAAAGCCAGGGCCCGCCGCGCTGGTCTGCAAGTCCACGCGCACGGCCAGGCGGCCAAGCAGCGTCAGGGCCCTCTCGAGAGACTCTGGGAGGATACCTACCTTCACTGCCCCTCGGGACAGGGTACTCACCGGCCAGCCAAGTGGACCGGCCTCAGTCAAGGCTTTCTGTCTGATCAGAGGGGGTCGATGCATGGGCCTGGCAAGGGTCACCAGGCCTCTGGGAGGTCCACCGCGAGGTCTCTCATCCACAAAGCTACCTCCTAGGGAGCCACCCGCCAGCCCGCTGGGCCCTCACCCATACTCCCCTCTGTGTAGCAGCCCACCTCCAGGGAGGGAGCGTCCTGTCCTGGCCCTGCTGTGCCCAGCCCCTAGGCAGAGTCTGGCTCCCGGAGGCCCATTCTTCATGCCCGCTGCCTGAGCAGGCACAAAACAAACTCCCGCTTCTTCGGAGACCTCAGGAGGGCCCCCACCCCTGGGGACAGGTGATTCTTAATTTGTTTATGTGCTGTGTGAGTTTTTCAGGGCTGCTCTGAGAAGGGACACAGGCCGGGCTTTCACAAGACGCTGATGTCCTCTCCGTCCCAGAGGCTGGCCGTCAGAGGTCAAGGTGACTCAGGGCCGATCCCTGCGGGGATCTTCCCTGGGCTCATAGAGGTGTCTTCCTCTGTCCCCACGGGGATGTCTCTCCACGTGTGATCCAGGGGTGCTTAACCCCTG